TCTCTCTCTCTCTCTCTCTCTCTCTCTCTCTCTCTCTCTCTGGGCGTGGTAGCAGCGTCAGTACACCTCCCACGTGACTTAATGAAGGGCCACCTGCCAACAACACGGAACACCCAGGTATATATCCCGCCTGTAGCGATAACACAACCTGGAATTATACAACACACGCACACCGATAACACAACCTGGAATTATACAACACACGCACACCGATAACACAACCAGGAAAATATACAAGAAACAGACCTTTAACATAACCTGGAATTATACAACAAATATACCAATAACACGGTGTGGAATCATTCAACAAATAAAAAGATAATCCAAACTGGAATTATACAACAAACACACTGATAGCACAAACTGGAAACAACCATCAAAATAAACCAACATAAGACCCACCCATCATATCAGGTGCACTGGGGTATTATCAACACGTGAACTGGAGATAATAAAGTCCCTCTACCAATTCCAGCGTAACATAAATACATATCTAATAATAAGAGTTAGTGGAATGTGAGCCTCCCATAGAGTACATGACAAACGTGCGGTAATTACAGGTGGCGCCAGGTATAACGACCACCTGTACGTCTCAATACACGGCCACACACCTCTCCACCTCCTCCCTCAAGCTAAGTTACTCACACGTGTTTATTGACCGTGTGTGATATACTGTACACTACACCCAGGTACTGACTAGTGTTACACAGCATCAGGTGAGGGGGGAGGTGTGTTAAATGATATACACAGGTATTGATTCACGCCAGGTTGATATAGGCGTAAGGGATCAGGTGAATATTAGCCACCCTACCAGTTTATTTCATCTCAAGAACAACCAACCTAACTCTAACGTAACCTAACCTACCTTAACCTAATCTAACCTAACATACCCTAATATAACTTAATCAATCCTAAGCTAACCCAACCTAACCTAACCTAACCTAACCTAACCCAACCTAACACACCTTGGTAGGGTCAGGGTGTTTGACCATCAGGTGAAATAAGCTGGGGGTTAATCTTTACGTGTTTCACATTAAATTAAATAATAACACCATCACAAAAACACCTTCCCAGCACAGGTATTTTCCTTAATGGTTCATATCATATCAAATCATCTTTTTACTGTCTCAAGTTTACGACAAGAAACACAGTAAATGGTTTCTGAGATTGTGTTTAAATTACTCTCAAAATTAGTTCCTCACACGTAACATTGTGAGTTACGTCATGAAAGGTGGAAATAACTTTGATTAAACACAGGTTAAAATTTATCCTTATTTCATCAAGTTGAATTATCGTCACTTAAAATTCCATTAATGTTAAACCATAAACGATTAGTACAAAATACCCCCCTGTCCTCCCCCCCCCCATACTCTAACTGCCCTCAGCACCTCCCCTCCCTGCCTGCCCACAACTGACACCCCCTCTCCGCCTGCCTGCCCTCACTAACACCCTCCCCCTCCAACCTGCTCACACTAACACCCTCCCCCTCCAACCTGACTACTCTGAAAGCCTCCCTGCCTGCCCACACGGACACCCTCTCTCCGCCTGCCTGCCCTCAATAATGTCGTCTTGTGTCGCGCTAATGGGACAACATGTCTTTTTTCATTCTTCGCTGTCACCAACACTCACCCCCCTCCCCTGTGTGTGTGGGGGAAGCGGGGTGAGTGGGTTGATGTGTGTGTGTGTGTGTGTGTGTGTGTGTGTGTGTGTGTGTGTGTGTGTGTGTGTGGGTGTGTGTGTGGGTGTGTGTGTGTGTGTGTGTGTGTGTGTGTGTAATAATTAACGGTTTATTGAAAAGTTCAACAGCCAGAAGGCTGAAAACATAGAGCTGAAAGAAATTACGGATCACCTGAAGAATCGTCACCCCAGAGTCCGGCAGGGCGACAATTCTTCAGGTGGGATATCCTGGGGCGACGATTCTTCAGGTGGCAACACCTGGGGTGACAATTCTTCAGGTGGGGTCAGGAGCCTCCATGGTTGTTAATCTTCAGGTTAGTGGAGTCAGGACCCTCCAGTCAGGTAGGAGGACTATATAATAGTAAGTGGGCTCAAAATTTTTAGTCGTAATCATCAGTCGACCATGGCAGGCAATACCTTCCAAACTGTCGTCCCACCACTGTTGTGTGATGATTCCTCTAAAGTTATTCGGTGGCTTCAACAAAACAGACTTTTAAACCGTGAAGTGAAGTGTGATACTTGTGATGACTGGAGGAATTGGACAAAATGCACCAGATCGAAGGATGGTTTTCTGTGGACATTCCAAACAAAAGACTGCCTGAAGTATAAATCCACTAAGTCTATAAGAATAGGACCTTTTTTTGCCCGTTCTAATATTTCACTTCAGAAGTGGGTTCATGTTATGCTGTTCAGTACCCTTTGTAATATGCATCACAATAAAGAAGCATAACACAAAGGAATATATTTATGTTATCCTAATTATACATACTATATTCACTGTGGGCTGGGGTGACGATTCTTCACGCACGCACGCACGCACACACACAGTTGACCTCCCAGTGGAAAAAAATCTACAATAACCAATCAGGTGGATCACCACTGCACCACAGGATCAATATTATCAAGGTGTTTCATGACCTTCCATATTTGGCCTGACCTACAGCACCCATCCCACCCATCACCCCGCCCACCTCTATAATCGCCCCGCCTCACCATCCTCCCTCACAATCACCCCTCCACACCATCCTCCCCCACAATCACCCCTTCTCACCATCCTCCCCCACAATCACCCCTCCTCTCCCATCCCTGAAAAAAAAAGGATCAAATAATATGCAGTAAATAATATACAGTAAATAATAAACAGGTAACAGACAGGTAGAGGGAGACAGGTGACAGATAAACTACCTGGGAGCCACGGAGGCACCGACAAAAACACCTGGATTTAAAAACACCTGTAATCATGAGTGCCAGTAAGGTGTGTTCCCAGGGTGTCATACTGTGCCTGGGGTGGTGAGGGAAGAGGAGGAGGGGGAGAAGGAGGATGGAGGGAAGAAGATAAGGAAGAGGGGAGGAAAGGAGGATGGGAAGAGGTGAGGAATATTAGAAGGGGATGATGAAGGAGGAATGGAAGAGGATGAGGAGGGAAGAGGCAGAGATGATGAAGGGAGAGGAGGAGAGGGGATGATAAAGGGAGAGAAGAGGGGGAGATGGTATGAGAGGAGGGGGAAAGATGAGACGAGGGAGGGAAGGAAAGTGGTGAACCAAGCCGAAGGAGTGGAGGTGAAATCTTCAAGTGATCCAAAAGTTTATATTCAAGTCACAACACAGACACAGCAGACGGTGGCGAGAGTCGGAGTGACGGGGGAAACTTTTTTTTTATAAATAACAATAATAGAGACAACGGGCCTAATATCTCCTCGGCCCCAGACACAACCCAAGACTATTGACGTTAATGATCGAGATTACATGGCATAAGAAGGAGAAAAATACGTAATTATGGTAATAGTCTAGGATGAAATTATATAAAAAAATCGAATTCCATTAAAAACAAAATAACCACAGGTGAGGTCCAACAGTGATACCATAATGATGTTAATATTTTAGGCTTGAATTAGCCACCCCCGCCCCACACAAAAAATAGTAATAATAAAAACATACAAAATTAAATATATAAAAGAAACAAAAACACTGCAGATATTCATAATGGTCTTAATATTTTTGTTCAGAATAAGTTTAAAAAGTCAAACTTTCATTGCAAAAAAGAAAAAAAATCACAGGTAACTTCCAATTAAGGTAACATAACGTGTAAATACTTTATAGTTAAATTACGTAAAATATCCCCCCCAAAAAGTAAGCCACAACAAATATAACATAATGATCTTAATAGTTTAGTTTAGAATTAACAAGAAAAAATACTTTGTTCTAAATAAGTAAAATTCAGGTGATGTGTGATGAGGGTGTCAACATGTTAGTGGTGAAGCTGTTGATAGTGATGAGTATTACAACCCCATCACAACACAGGTACAACCCCATCACAACACTGGTACAACCCCATCACAACACAGGTACAACCCCATCACAACACAGGTACAACCCCATCACAACACAGGTACAACTCCATCACAACACAGGAACCCCATCACAACACAGGTACAACTCCATCACAACACAGGTACAACCCTGACCACACACAGGTACAACCCCACCACAACACAGGTACAACCCCACCACAACACAGGCACAACCCCACCCACAACACAGGCACAACCCCACCACAACACAGGTACAACTCCACAACAACACAGGCACAACCCCCACCACAACACAGGTACAACTCCATCACAACACAGGTACAACCCCACCACAAACACAGATACAACCCCACCACAACACAGGTACAACTCCACAACACTACAGGCTAACCCCATCACAAATAGTTGTACAACTCCATCACAACACACAGGTACAACCCCACCACAAATACAGATACAACCCTGAACACAACACAGGTACACAACTCCACAACAACACAGGTACAACCCCACCACAACACAGGGCACAACTCCATCACAACACAGGTACAACCCCACCACAACACAGATACAACCCCACCACACAACACAGGTACAACCCTAACACAACACAGGTACAACCCCATCACAACACAGGTACAGTTCCCCACCACAACACAGGTACAACCCCTACCACAACACAGGTACAACTCCACCACAACACAGGTACAACCTCACCACAACACAGGTACAACCCCATCACAACACACAGGTACAACCCCCACCACAACACAGGCACAACCCCATCACAACACAGGTACAACCCCACCACAACACAGGTACAACCCACCACAACACAGGTACAAATCCACCACAACACAGGTACAACCCCACCACAACACAGGTACAACCCCACCACAACACAGGTACAACCCCACCACAACACAGGTACAACCCCACCACAACACAGGTACAACTCCACAACAACACAGGTAAACGGATAAACGACATAAATTATATAAGGTAAGATAGCACTCACCTGTCCGCTAGGGGAGACGTCTACACCAATCAGCGGCTGCTCCTGTGAGGTAAAGTAGTCATCATTAGTCTTTTCTACTACCGTCAAATTAGCCAATGAGGGGGAGTAATTCACCTGTTTGATGAGGTTAATTATTTCATTACCTGTGTTATCTTGATCTGTGTGTGTGTGTGTGTGTTGGCCTGCGTACATGGATGTTAATGAATGTGAATATAAAATTTTGTGTGTGTGTGTTTTCAGAAGACCTAAATGTGAGAGTCCTGTAATAGAGAAGAGGGTCACCTTACATATAACAATAAAAACAACAACAACTCAACAATTTCCAACACTATTTAAAAGAACTACAAATTTTGGTCTCAGAACTTAATAAAAAAGTTTCTAAATACAGCTGGTTAGAATTTTGTTGTGTATCTAAAAATTATACAAATACAAAAAAAAACACCTTTCTGAAGCCTTTACATTTTGGAGCGAAAAAGCGACATCAGATGCTTACAGATTGTTGGCTTTTGGACACATTTTTGGATTAATTTCAACTACAAAAATTAGAGTTGCATATGGTGTGTTTCTGATTAAGTTTATATAGTGTATAAATTTGTGAAAGTACAGGTAAATACATGAGAACACATCCACAGGTATACTATGTTGACACACCTGACACATAAATGAAATAAAAAGTTCTTAATCAGTTGTTAAATATAATTGATGATATAATGAAGGAATTAACATATCATTTAGTATTACACTTCCTGATTATGTAAATGAGGATGATTTCGGGCGTGTGAAATTCCAGAGCTCTCATTGGTCCTCTAAAAGTCTAAATGAATCATACCGGAAAATTAAAACAATGATTGAATTATTACTGAATATTATCCTACTATTAAATATAAAATGACTTATATCCAATAATTAAGACCAAAGGTGAATTAGAATCTGTTGCTAACATTCACACAGAATATGAGAGCATTAGTGGTGCGAGTTAGTGGTGCGTGTTAATGGTGCGAGTTAGTGGTGCGTGTTAGTGGTGCGAGTTAGTGGTGCGTGTTAATGGTGCGTGTTAATGGTGCGAGTTAGTGGTGCGTGTTAGTGGTGCGAGTTAGTGGTGCGTGTTAGTGGTGCGAGTTAGTGGTGCGTGTTAATGGTGCGTGTTAGTAGTGGCTTCTTCTCTATTGGTAAAGTTAAAAAACTGGTGACATCAGTAACAGCTACTCCCCCCCATCCTTTCTTGTGAGAGTTACTGAGGGGAGAAGACTAGATTTCCCTCACATTCAATTTCTGTGATAGGTTCCCCTCTCTCTCCATCCCTCCCTCTATTCTTTATGCCTTCCTCCCTCTTTCTGCCCTCCCTCCCCCCTTCCCCCTATCCCTCGCGTCGCCATTGTCGCTGCCTCTAGAGACAGATTGGATACGTCTAGTGGAAGGTCCTGTAAATCCTCTCCCTCCCTCCCTGAGAACTACCATTCCCTGGAGCTCTTCCCCTAATACCCGCTCTTTCTGCATCCGTTCCCTAGAGCTCTTCCTTCGAGTCTTCCTCCTTGCAGCCTCTCTCCTTCTTCCTTCCCAGCTCCTCAACTTTATCTATTTGTCCCTACCTGGAAATTTTTTATCACTACTTCACAAATTCCTCCCCTTAACCTCTACGTCCCCTCAACACCCCCCTATCACCTCATGGAGCCCCATTTCCCTGGAGCCCTCCCTTCAAGCCGCCTCCAAATTCCTACATCCCTCTTCCCCACCTTCCCTTCCCTCGAGCCATTAACATTGTTCATTAAGGTCGCAATTTTGGGCGTTTTGAGGTGTATGGCCCGGGTGGGTCACAGAGACACGGGGCAGTGTGTCGACGTCACCTCACACACAGGGCGGATTCGTCACGCTGGGTGTAATTACAGGTGGGTAGGCGGAGGTGTGAGGTGTATCTGAACTCCCCTGGGTGTGTCCTGGCGGGGGTGTACTTGGAGACAGACAGACAAGACAGAGAGACAATATGACTCTTGATTAAACTCTTATGTAGATCTAGTGAAAAAATAAGCTAGACAGAAAAACAAAACGACCTTTCCCTTGTACCCCAGTGAAGAGCCGCCTAGTGTGAGCCGGGAGTATCCTGGTGGGGGTGTCCCTAGGACGTCACACGAACCCTGACCTAAACTTTGCAAGTAGTGGCGTCAATACACGACACCCGAGAGTTGAGTCGACTCTTGCAAACCTGTAACAAGTTTTCCCTCCTTACTGGTGAGCTGCTGCTGTGTGCTACTGGTGGTGGTGACAGTGGTGGTGATGGTGAGAGTGATGGTGGTGGTGGGGATGGTGATGGCGGTGGTGATAGTGGTGGTAATGGTGCGGAGGACAATAATGATGGTGTTGAGGATGATGGTGGTGAGATTTTTTGACCATAGTAGTTATTGGTGTTATTTCCTCGTGGTCATTCATCCTGGACCCCAGGCTCTAACACCCCTACAGGACCCATCACAGCTTCCCCAAGGGCAGGGTGTCGACGGTGCCGGGTGTGAAATTGTTAATTACTGCTAAGTGTAAACTGTTATTGAAGATTCATCAAACTTGGCATGGGAACATTTAGCTGGGGGGGGGGTAGAGGAGGAGGAGGAGGGAGAGGGGAGAGAGGAGGAGGAGGAGGAGGAGGAGGTGGTGGAAGAGGTGGTCGAGAGGGACATTTTGAATACTAGAAAGTGAGTAAAACATCTTTACGAAAAAGAAATGAACACGGTCAAGTGTTATAGTGAGGACACACACACACACACACACACACACCATAACTTATAAGGCGGGTGCGTGTTGTGTCGCCTGGTAGGATGACAGACATCTGCACCACCACCTACTGCACTGTACTGTACACTATTTGGTTAACACAATGGTAAAACTGACGAGTGTTCTATAAAGCCTGAACCTAACCTAGCACTCACACGAAACACGATGCTACCATGCGGGTGGGACGTAATATTATCTTACTGTGTTAAAATACCACTATGTCTGGCTGCGTTAGTCAGCTCAATGCTCTCTCCTCCCGTCTGACTGACCAACATTTTTTTTCCATGTGAAAGAGATTTTTGAAATACGTCTCATTATGTACATTATGCTGCCAGAGGTACGATCACCCACACCACCACAGCTAATAACCCTCACGCTTAGCCTTCCTCCTGCACCAGGTGAGTTGTACAATGTATTTCTCGTATCATGTTCCACGACTGCTAGTCATTGTTCGGCGGGGTTGATCTTCACTAGTAAGTAAGGCTTCTTGTTCGAAACTGTGCCAAACTTAAACGAGATACTACAATGTCATCTGTGGGTAGAACAACATTTCGGAGACTCGTTCCCGCAGTCCATTGTCTCAGGGGCGTAAAGGAACATAACTAGATAAGAGTTTTCATCAGTCATGTATCTGATTGGTGAGTCGCTTCTTACATGCATGATAAAGCAAAAGATAATTTGGTGCTACATGGTTTGTGAACATTAGTATGGGTAACACGTAGTGCTTGTGTGCAAGACGATGAGAGACTCGTTAATACACACACACAGTGAGAGCCACCAGGCTAGCAAGTGCATTATAGTACATCAAATGGGCGTGGCTGGGAGCACCACCACCCACCCTCCACTCTAAGACCTCCTTCAGATAACACCCTTCATGGCCCTCTTCAGGAGGTTTTTACTGCTCGTCCACCCTCGTAGTGCTCACACAAACGTCAGCCGGGATATTGTTCCACCACTGAACGACTGCGTTTTAAGTAGCTAACGACTGGCTAGCCAACCAGAATGGCTCAGCTCAACCAAGAGATGATTGTACTGGTTACCAAAAATTAAAAGGTCCTCTTTTAAAATAAATGAAATTATCAGTTGAAATATTAGCTAACTGGCACAAAGAGACTCGTAACATACCTCAGCTTATTATTACCCCCAAACCTGTTCCTTCAGCGTTTATCAGGTGAGCAGATTTGTGCACCAACATTTACAAACACTTTATGTCATGTTACTGGACCCTGACTCTTCCTTAAGGCCTTCCACAACCACAGGTAAGTGACACGACTAAGTGATGAAATGTCTGCTCAAACAAACACTGGCACTGAAAGAGTTTATTTAGCCCGGAAAATACAGGTACAAAATAAACAATAACAACATATCAACATTACTGTTATCTTGAAATATACATCTACAGTCACAATTACAGGAAAACATACACGGACACATACACGCATACATACACGGACACATACAGTACACACATACATGCACCTACACGGACACATACATACAAGGACAGCCCAGTCCCAACCAATGTAAAAATTATCAATAACTTGTAATAAACCAGTGTATTCACTCCCAGTAAATAATACTTATTGCACTGTCACTATGTTGAAATGAACTGTAGTTTGAGCTTTTCCCCATCTAGTTATTATATATCTTATTTATATCACTTATGTTACTTGTATATTATTTGTAATTCGAAACCCATTCCCCAAATATGTAACTGTATATTTTCAGCCTTCTGGTTGCCAAGCTCTTTCAATAAACCGTTAATTATTATTATTATTACATACACACACACACACATACTAACACACATAACACGGATGCACACAAGAAAAGAAGAGTAAGAAGATTCACACCATCTGTACCAAACTCCGATTCCCGAAACAAGTAGAATTCCTGAGACCAAACGCCCTGCACTCAACATACCACAACAACACAGTTCTCGCCTGCTTGTGAGACAGTAATGGCAGACTCCTGACAATTACCCACTATAATATATATTCATTGCGCTTTAAATGCTTCCTCACATATACTGCGACCAAATATCAATTTTCTTTTTATCACCTCCGTAATTGTATGATAGCAGAAGATATTTTTTATCATTTTTTTTTCAATATTCAAAGAACATATTAATGAAATGGGTGACTGCATAATGTTGTAATGAATATATGGTAAAGTGATTTTCATTCATGTTCACGTCTAATTCAACTCACAATGGAGACAAATTCACATCGTATAATTAGTACAGTATATGTACCCACCCTAACCTAACCTAATCTAACCTAACCTAACCTAACGCTAACCTAACCCCCCCCCCCCCAAATAATGTGAGGGTGGTTATTCTGGTCAAGTACTGCACGACACTGCTTGACCACATCGATGTACAGTATACGCAGTCAGCCATATCTTATCTAAACCAAAGGACAATATTAATAGAAATAATATCTTCATATTTCCCTTTATACTTGTTCCAAACTTGATGGGAAAAGTTTCTATAACTTGTGAATAATAAAAGTAATGGATAGTTAGTCACATCTTACTCAAAACCCATTTAACAACCGTCTTATCTTGTGTCAGGTGTAGTGATCAATCTCCAGGTCACCAGTATACACCACGAAGGATACATCACGTTACTTTAAGTTGAAAAAAAAACAAAATAAATAAATAAATAAAAAATATAATGACAAAGCTTGCAATTTTCTACTCACCCCCGCCAAAAAATAATAAATGAAAAATAAATACAACTTACAATAAACAAGTGATATTAAAATGCTCATCACAAAAACCGTATGAGATCTTTACATTATATAAGGGAATTTGTAAACACCTTATATGTATTAGAAATATAATAAAAATAATAAAATTCACGAACGTAATTATAATGAGAAAATAAAATAGGAGTTGATTATGCGCGCGCGTGTGTGTGAGATGTGATTTATGATGTTGGTCTACTTGAAAAAAATGGGGAGGAATGTTATGGATTTATGAGTGTTGTGTGTGCGCCTCCCCACCTGAGTCTTCAACCCGATATTGTTGGAACTCTTCTAGATCCAGGCGGCGAGAGGCTGTGTGTGCCCTCCTGTCATGTCGGGATTGTGACGTAGACGAATCCAGAACGGTGGTTTGGGCTCGGTTCAGGCGTGTGACTCGGGATTCCTCAGTCCGAGATTTCCTGCAGTGGATTACCCATATTCAGAACATCGGCTTGAATCCCGGATCGAGTAATCTGTTGTATTTTCTTTAATTACGAGCAGGGATTCGAACACTGAAATTCCAGCCAATTACGTTTCAGTTACACCATTACGACAGCCAATCACCATCGAGAATAATGTTTACCTGATTATGGCGGCAGTTATGACTCGACGAGTTTTTACAGAGCAGGAGAGATCTGTCCTTGCAAGACTAGTCAGTGAAAACAGCATCGTAGAAAGCAAGAAGACAGATGTGGCGTCAATTATTGATAAGTCAAAGAAGTGGCAGCAAATAACAGAACAATACAACTCAAGTGCCAATGTTCAAAGAAGAACACCACTTCAACTACGAACTTGCTGGAAGAACATGAAGGTCAAAGCAAGGAAGTATATTGACAGGTGAGATTTGTAAATGTTAATATCATTTTAGCCCAAGTTATCTAGTCATATGCAAGTGAGAGTGGTATTACCTAAGAAGTTTATTATAATCTTAGCCTTAATAAACATTAAGGTAAGAATTAAAGAACATACCCACAGGTTTGTCACATCTTCACTTATTACTGCTCCATTATAATTAAATACATGAATGTGTTTTGAATACAGTATATTTCATAAGTTATAAGGACCTGTTGACATTAGTTTCATATCTTCAGTTAGTTAATAATAATTATAATACTAACAAATTCAGATTGTGATTCTCAGTAATATATCAACATATTTAGATATAAGTTTTTGACGAACTAAAATACGAAAAATGTTATACAGTAGTAGAATAGAGGCTTACAATGATGCGTGATACAAAAAATGCATTGGGAACACCAAAATATTGACAAATTACTGGTATTTATTAAGACAATTGATGTAAAAAAAACTTTTGCATACTCCATGTCTTGCCATAATATATGTACTTGCCAAGAATGAAGAGTACCACTGGTGGGGGGTTGATGCTTCCCATCAAACTGTTCTATGCCTTTTTTTTCCATAAATTCAATGTTCTTTGAAAAGTAAGTTTTGAAGTGAAAATACCATAGACATAGTCTGGCACTTAATGTGTGCTTCTCCTTGACTATTACCAAAGAGAAATTATCAGAAACACTGATTTCATTATGTCCTTAACTAGTCAGTTTCTTTTTGCTTTACCATTTTATAATTTAATTATTTCTGTGTCATGGCATTTTCGAGAGAATTAACAGTACTGTACTGATTACTGGAATACTGTATACTGAAGATATATACAGTACCTGTTCATATACAGTACTGTATGTGAATACACAGTAGACATGAATCCCATGTGATCCTGTAATTTAGGATTTTTTTTTTTTTTACTTTTGATGATTCCACCATTACTTGCAACTATTACAACACCTTGTGGGGATTACTAGCATACAAAAGTGAAAACTTTCAAAGTCAATAACACCAATAATTATGAACAATTAAATACTACTGTATATTGGTATCAGTAAAATAAATATATATGGAGTGATTAGCCTTCATTATCTCCCTTGTTTTCCTTAGTAATATTTAGTTATTCTAATTTTGAAAAAGATTTTATTTGTGTATTACAGTGAAAGACGACCTCAGGTGAAAACTGGTCGTGGTCCTCCAAATTTTCAACCTGCCAGTAAGGCAGTAGAGGACACTCTGGCAGTTTTACCGCCAAAGATGTACCAACCTGTAGACAGTGACATTGGGGACAATGAACCACTTGGTATGTTATCATTCTTCATCCCGTGTTATCATATAAGATAATAGATGTGCAATAAGAATGTTTGCACAGCCATAAATAAGGACAATATTGACTTGTTATCCTCTTTTATATGGAATTACTGTACTTACACTGGGAGCTTCTGACAAGTGTATACTATATTGAATGCTGTATTTATTTAGGTAGAATTATTGTATCAGATAAATTTATCTTGTCAAAAATAGATATCACCTAGTAGGCTAGTCATATCACTTAAATAATGTATTTTTACATTTACCTGTTTTTGTCATAGAAAGAAAAAGATCAGTAAATAAGCCATTAAAATTGTAAAAATCATCAGAACAATGAATACTCTATCAAGTAATTATGACCATTTGCTTAATATCCTACTGTATACAGTACGGTATAGATATTTTCTGAATGTGTATTCAAATTTTATTTTTCCATTTAGTTACAATATTAGTATTTCTGTTGTATTTCTAATTTGATTCAGTATTTAAAGATACAGTACAGTACGGTACTTCAAAATGTACATTTACAGTAGTACTACTAAATTCAATAGCAAATTTCAAGGTAAAACTGATTTTTTTTGCTTAATTAATAAAATAAAATGTGTTGCAGCTCAAGCAGAGGAAAGCCTTGGGGCAATCCAAGATGATGCTGTTATCATACAGAATTCTGAAATAGTAGAGGATGACATGGGGGAAATATTGAATGGCAGAGAAGGGACTTCATCCAACTTATATAACTCTAGGCCACATTCAAGTCTGAGTACTGAAAATGAAGTGTCAAGACCTTACTCAGGGTGTAGTAACAGGCATGAAACTTACAGACACCAGTATCAGACTCCCAAGAAAGTGGCAGCAAGGTATGTTGAGAAGTCTTGTGAGCTAGATGTACAACTTCTACATTCTAAGCTTAGAACAGAAAAATTGTCTCAAGAATATTATGATTTGAAAATCAGATGTGCTAAATTAGAAGAAGAAAAACTAAAGAAGGAGTTACTTTTTCAGGCTGAAAAGCACAGGATGGAGTTACTTTTTCAGGAAGAAAAACACAAGAAGGAACTTATTCTTCTGGATGAAAAATTGAAATGTATAAATAAACAGACAATTATAATCTGACTGATATTTCATTTTACCTTTACTTTTATCCTCTTCACCACTGATCGGCCGTTAGCCGCTTGGGCGATTGGTCATGTCTCTGTCACGCACTGTTGGCAAGTACTAGGCATGTACTGGCTCTCCGTTACACACTGTTGGCAGGTACTGGGCATGCACTGGCTCCTGAATGCACCTGAACCTGCTCCAGTGTTGGTCAAGTCTGGTCTTGAAAGAACTCACACTCGGTGCCGTCACAACACTTTCCTGCAGATTGTTCCAAGAGTTCGCAACTCTCACTCCGAAAAAGTTTGCCCTCACAGTTTTCTGGACCTGCGGCTTCTTCAATTTTGAGCTGTGACCCCTTGTGGGGCGAGCGTCTGCCAGCTCCAAGTAAGGACACTCGACTGAGTAGTGCCCCATGAGATGCTTATACACCTCAATTAGGTCACCCCTTGCCCGTCTGTAGTATAAGCTAGGCAAGTTCAGGCGCTCCAATCTCTCAGGGTAGTTGAAGTGCCAAAGTGCAGGCACCAGTCTGGTGGCCTTCCTTTAAATATTTTCAACTGACAGTCCCTAGCATATCTCGGGGACCAGACGGGGTGACAGTACTCCAGATGGGGAAGCACTTCACTCTTGAAGATCGTTACGAGGGACGGACTGTCTAGATATCTGAACGACCTTCTTGTAAGACCCAATAATTTATTTGCCTGATTTATTTCTTCTTGCAATGGCCCGAGAACTTCAGCTCATTATCAACATACACACCAAGGTCCTTCTCACATTCAGACTCGAATAATGCAGTTTCTTCATCCCGATGGGACAAATGAACGCCTCCTTTCCGTTGGTACGCCCCAGGTGCATCCGCTTACACTTTGTGACATTGAATCTCAGCAGCCATTTCTTCAACCATTCTTGGAGCTCACAGAGACCTTTCTGCAGCTCTTCACAGTCTGCTTGGTTCTTGATTTCCCGAAATAATTTGGCGTCATCGGCAAACATTTGTATGGTGGACTGTACATCGTCAGACATGTCATTTATGAAACAAACGAACAACAGCGGGTCCAATATACTGCCCTGTGGTACCCCGCTTGTGACAGGTACAGATGATGATTTCATGCCATTAATCACCACACACTGCTTGCGGTCATGTAGAAAGTCTTCTATCCACGCTAGGACATTTTCCCGAATTCCGTACCCTTCTAGTTTGATTTTCAGCTTTTCGTGGGGTACACTGTCGAAAGCCTTGGCAAAATCTAGGTTTATATTGTCGATATTACCACCCCGTTCCCGAATATGGGTCCAAATATCCAATACCTCGAGCAATTGTGTTAAGCAGGAGCGCCCCAGCATAAAGCCGTGTTGGCAATCCTTTACTTATTACACATAAGTAAGTTGACTAAAAAATATGGAGCCCTTTGTAATGTACAATATCATAAATTAATGCTCTGTATAGTACATACTGTGAATTTTTTTCATTTCCAATGCTTTATAATTTTCTTTTTAATGACATTATGAAACTGTTCCATTATGTGCAAATTTTTCTTAAGGGCAGAGTGATTTTCTTTGCAATTTTAATATACCTGTACTATAGGGTTATGGCATAGAGTATTATGTAGTTTTATTTTCCCACAAGACAGCTGATTCAAGTTTAGTATTTTCTGTGTAATGTGATATTTTGTCATACAGGTATTCAAATTGGACAATTATTCTGGAAGTTAGTGCCTATTTTCCTGAAGAAATTGGACCTAATTTTCTATTTATTACCAATTTCAATATAGAATCCTGCACTGTATTCTAATATATTTTGCCTTCCATACAGAAATCTCATCACACTTATATATTCATTGGTCATATGTTCATTATTACTATGCATTTCCTGTTACTATACAGTATTATAGATTGTTACTTAATTGCAGATATTTAACAAAGGTTAAAAAGGAAAGGTCATGATAGAGGATTTTTATTCCAAACTTTATGGAAGCTGTTATTACAAACTCAAATAAATATGTTTGCATTTACCTGGTATATTGTTTTTATCCAGTTTACACCGACTGTATAGTCCAGTAATTGAGAATCACCCTGTATACTGAATAAAGTAAATAAAAATAAATTTTCTATGTATCTTATATGAATTAGGTGTCAATAATTCTTTGCCTTTTGGCAACGTCTGCCTTGTGTGCCAATAAATTGTCCTGTTGAATGATGATGGCTGGTACATGAATATCAACTGTAATGTTGTATAATATCATGCAGGATACATAACATGAATGCTATCCTGAACTTTCTTGAGTCTTAATTGTTGTCTAAGACAAGGAAACTTCCTTTTAAGGGCACCCAAACAACATTCCACTGTCATTTTTGTTAAAGATAAACTGTGGGTAAATCTCCACTCAGGGCTGCTGACAGGATTCTTGAGGTGTTAAAATGTAAGGCCTGCATGGATATGCAGAGTCCCCAATCAGATGTCCATGGCTACCAGGTTTCATCACCTATTTCACTTGAGAATTGTCAAAAGTTCTAGCATCTTGACAGGAACCTTGCCACTGGATTGTTGCAGATATTATCTTGTAATCTGGCCCACCCACTACTTATGTATTGATGGAGTGACAGCCCTTCCTGTTTCTATAAATTTCACCCACTGTTCTATTTGGGTTTTGAATTCTTATGTGTGTGCAGTCTATGGCACATATTACTCCAGGGAAGCCTTGTTTCTGGTAGAATGTGTTGAAACAAAACCTAAATTAGAATGACTTGCACAATGTAAATTATTTACAAACTTTTGTGTCAATCAGTACTTTTCTGTTGTTTATTTTGTAACAAACCTGTGGTTACATCACACAATATAGACAGTGTGGTGGTACATTACTGGACCAGGACACAATCAGTCAAGAATACAGTTACGACACAAAAAGTAACTACCTGTACTGTACAGTTATGTAAACTGTACTGTACATTCAGTAAATGGGAAAGTACTGTACATATCAGAATGGACTGTGTATGCTTACTGTATGCAAGTTTGTAGGGGGTTTATGTAAAGTTCTGTATACAGTGTGTGTACAATCCCTCCTTCATAGCGGGAGAAAAGTGATAGTAACACTTGCTAAAGTAGATGGTACAGGACAAAGGCAGGCCATTCTGTATCACCATATCACCAATTGGCCTGCCTGTATCACAAGCTCAAGATGATATCATCTGCTGGTAATTACAGTACAGTATAGTGTATACAGTAATATATTTTATTTACAATACCATATGGTGTATGTGTACAGTTGTGTTTGCATCAATAAATACAGCTGTGTCTGTTCTGCAAGATGAGTAGTTCAGACTCAGAAATCTTTTCCAAGTCCCCACAAAATTCCGGGGATGTTAGTGTATATCCATGCGAGATGCATAGTTTTGACTCTCGGAAAACATTTCCCAGTACCTGGAAAAATTCAGGGGATATGGGATTTTTTCCGGGGAAGAGAAAATTCGTCTCAATACCCAGTAATCTTTCATTCCCAGAAGAGCTTTGCACCCATTAATGGTGGTTAACGGAGAGTTAGCTGTATACTCTGCTGCTTATTTCCATAAATTTTTGTCAGCCTTGCCTGATCATTGTTTTTGTCCATACTGTATTGTACAGTACATATTTGGCAATACAGTGTACAGTACTGATATCTTTTTTGTTACAGGTATTATTCAAAATTCTTTTTTTCCCTATTTTTTTCCTTTACTTCTGTTATCTGAAATAATCTTTGAAATGTTCAATTCATGGTTCATAATTACTCTTTTATATCAGTTGTGATAATTTTAAGTTTCATTTTTGTAGTGGTAGATTCTAAATAATATTCTTTTTATTTAATCAAATGTTGTTGCCTCTCGTAAACACCTCTTATCTGACTTTGAAGTGTATACTGTAGTATTATACTGTACAGGTATACTTGGATTTGTAAATTCACATTTTATTTTTTCTGAAATTTTTGTAAGTGACATACTGTACTGTACAGTGATCCCTCGGTTAACGAGCACCTTGGTTAACGAGATTTCAGTTAATGAGTTACCTTCCATAAGATTCTAAACTTCGGTTAACGAGCAATCCCTCGATTAACGAGTTTTTTACGAGCCGACCTCAACATGTTTTCGCTTGCATTTGGCGGTCCACCAGCTGTAGTATTAGTCCACCAATACAGTAATCGGTTTTAGGGCTTAAATTCCTTAATATTTTAGTAAATATCAAGAAGTTTATACTATTCATTAATCTTATAAGTTTAATATTAACTTTTTTAGTAATTTTAACAATTATTGAACATAATTGAAGGTAAGCAAACTAGTCGCATGCGCGTCATCCAGCCTGGCAACACACCAAACAGGCGCCAGTCTCTCTGTCTTTTCAGTGGAGGTAACATCTTGCTTGAGATTCTCTTCAACTAAATGCTTTTTTTTTGTGTTTGCAAGCAAATTATTGGTCATTTTTAAATTTATTTTACATTGACAATATATAATGCAGTGCAGTGTTGATTTAAAGAAAATAATCTTGAATTACACCAGGAGGGCAGCCAAAAAAAATGGGAAAGAGAGTTGGTGACGACAAAGTAGACTTAGAAACCTTCCCTATCAAGATAGATTAAAGAAACTAAACTTGCATTCCCTAGAAAGACGAAGAGTGCGGGGAGATATGATAGAAGTATTTAAGTGGGTGAAAGGAATCAATAAAGGAGATATAGAGAAAGTTCTTATAATATCCGAGCAGGATAGGACTCGTAGCAAAGGATTTAAATTGGATAAGTTTAGGTTTGGGAGGGAGATAGGAAGGAACTGGTTCACAAATAGGGTGGTGGACGAGTAGAGCAAGCTTAGCAACTTTGTAGGACGTGTTGGGACGCTGGAAAATTTTGAAAGGAGGCTAGATAGATTCATGGATGATAGAGAGTGGTAGTAACTCCCGACAGGAGCTGCCATGCACAGAACCGGCCTATTGCAGACTCCTTATCTTCTTATGTTCTTATCTCAAACCCGGCTTGAATCTTTGTGTTGGCTCAAGCCAGCGTTCTGAATACCAACAATTTTCAATCTTCGCTCGAT